AGTGGTCAGTGTATAGAGTGACTTCAATTCTTCACTCACATTCATGTATGAATATGAATTGTTACGTAGCTGTGTTTAGGGAATGCAAATCAAAATGTTCACATAAAAGTTTGTCATGCATATCTGAAAAATAATGTTTCAGCTATATGTCTGACTACAGTAATTTCTTTTCTTTTCAAATGTACATTAATAGAGTTGTTTCAAAATTATGATTGTGTGTTCCTGAGAGCATCTGAATGTTTCAGATGTTGTTGTGGCTAGGAATAAATGGTAAAAATATATTTTAGAGATGATGCAAGTCTCAGATATCTGAGATATCTGCAAATCTCAAAGACTTGCTCACTCTATAGCATTCCCCAATTTGATGCAAGAATAGGCAAAAATGTTTCATGAATGTGAAAGTGGGTAGTGTTTTATTACTGCTAATTACAATTAATGGTTGATATGCATGCACCTTGTTTTGCACATCCATACAAAGAATGTCAAAATGATGGTAAAGAAGAGAAGACAACGTAGTGGGACTACCACATTGTGATGAAGGAGTATAGAATCATAGAATGGTTTGGGTTGGAAGGGACCTTAAAGATCATCCAGTTTCAACCCTCCTGACATGGGCAGGGACACCTTCCACTAGACCAGGATGCTCAAAGACCCATCAACCCCAACCAACCTGGCCTTGAAACAGATATGGAAAAAGGAACTGCTTAAGTGAAATGCTTAATAAATTTCAAAATTATAGATAATAAATAAGAAATCAAAAATTAGTAGCTATTTTGAATTTTTAAAAAAAATTATTACAAACAATGGTGAGATAACACACTTCTACATCAGCAAAGTAGTTTAGTTTAGTGTTTTCCAAAACAAAGTGGCTTTCACTACTTATATTTTCCAGTTCTATTGTAGACTTACTGGAAATCTTGTTATTTGGTAGGAGTTTTTGCTGCCTCCTGACTCATGGTTTGACCCAATTGTGCTTTATGTATATGTAGAAGAGCTTCTCTCTTTTCCTCACTGCATGCATCCGGAAAGCTCACTGACCGCAGAACACTTGCATTATACTGTCAGCTTCACCGTCTTGATGGGATGATGCAGAGCTCAGCCTAGAGATCTTCAGCCCCCATGCTCTGGGCCATGGAAAGAAAGATTAAAACCATTTTTGAGTTCTTCTCAGAAGAAGCAAGATAAATATATCTCATTGGGGTTTTTCCACTGAGGATATTTTTGTTGTCAGGTCAACTCATAAACTTGGTAAGGTTAAGAGGAGTCATGAAAAGTGGACAGCAAGGAAAAATTGGTTTCAGCTAGGTGAAAATTCAGCTGAAGCAAGTAAGGATGTATGGAATTCTGTGCATGGTATATGCAAGCAGTTTGTCAGAGATGGAAAATGGAAGAGTAAGGAAGAGAAATACTGTTCCTTTCTGCTGCTTGCTGTTGTCTCATTGTAGGTGAACATCACAAGCAACTATCTGTGTGAACAGAAATTTGTGGGTGACACACTTTCTTGGTAAATTACAACTAGTAATTTTTTTAATTTTAGATTTTTAAATTAATGAAAACAGCCATGCAAAGAGGAAAAACAACCTTTGGGAAGGCGAACATTGTTCTACAACACACTCACTTTTTTCTCCTAGAACAGTTCTTACCTAGCAAAGGGCAAATTCCCAGAACATAATGTCCTTTGTATAAGTAATAGTTTTAACATTTTTCATGGTTGTGGTGTCATGATTGACATTGGAAATAACAAAGCAGAAGTGAGAAGGAGCTCTAGCAATGCAGTGAGTCTGTTTGGGTAAGAGGAAGCAGAATATGCCAGAATAAAACAACCTTGTAAAAAAAGAATCATGTAAATCCATTTAATTCACCAAGCAGAAACAAGGAACTATCAGAGAACTATTCTTCTGCATTCTACAGACCTGACAATTATGAGAAAGGACAGCACACAAAAACCCCCCTTAGTAAAAATTCACTTCACCCACTACTGGCATAACAGAAATAGGAAGTGGCTTTCTACATCTTTCCCTCAACTCAGACTACTCTTGGGCTGGCCTCTCTGATTGAGTTTAGCATACCACAGGCTGACCTACTTCAGAACAAGAGTGTCATGATGCAACTTTAAACCAGGAAGCCTAAAGCCCACTCTTCTCTGCAAGCAAATGTGTTAGGGTGAGAAGCACTTCCTTCATCTACTCCTTAGGGTGGTACATTGGCTCAGGAGAGGATTTTTCAGAACCTGTGTTGGCAGGAAGAACCCAAGGTTCTCCAAAGGAAGTTCTTCATTGTAATTGCACTGATTTTGCTTCACATTGTCTGACAGCTCCCTTCAGCACTGTAGATAAATCTACACTGAAGCCTTTCAAAGCCTCTTGAATACAGACCAATGAGTTTTATAGTATCTTAACTTTTTGCCTCTCCTGGGAGCTGCTGACATAAGCAAAAATGCACAGGGAGCAACTGATACAGAAATTATCTTTCCAGGCTGACATCATCAATACTTTTGATCTATGTACATAAAAGCTGATTATCTCATCCTGGATGTCTCAGCATTTAATTTTTCCTTCCATTGTAGATATTTTTGAACTCCCTATGGTGTGCATTCTTTGAAGTTGGCATTTCATGACTCAGAGGCTGTCTGCACTCTTTAGACACTTAAAAAATAGCAGGGCAACAATTTTGCCCCAGCAGTCTGAAAATATTCCCTCTAAAAGTATGCACTAGATTCTTCTTTCCATAAACTTGAAGAAAAGTTACATTTCTTTCATGATACATCTCAGTCTGCTGTATCGTCAGAATCCCTCTTATCTAGTCTGCAAGTAGCACTGGGTTAGAAAATCCTTCATTCACTCCCTCCCCACTGTTTTTCCCTTTTCTGCCTAAAGCCTCCTCAGATAATCCTACCTGTGCTACAGCTCTGGTTCTGTTTTGTCAGAAGGACACACTGTCGTCACTGTATATGTATTTTGTACCAGGCGTGTCCTGGGTAGCACTGTGGGAAAAGCTTTGTCTCGGCACAGTGTTAGCTCCTTGTCCCCACTCAGGTGGTCTGCAGTTTTTTTCTCGTACAGGAGAGAAGCAAATAAGGCCATCACACCTGGCACAGCTGGCACATCACAGTGCCTCTCTGGGTCGGTCTGGAGAGCAGGCACAGGGCTCAGCGGGATTGACTTCTGCCGTAACGCCACTGCTCCCTAATCTTATGCATACAGACACAAAGAAAGAGGTGACAGGTGAGGCCTGATTATCATCTTCCCACTGTCATTATTACATCGTAATAACAGGTTGCAAGGTGTCCATGTTCAGAGGAAGATTTGGAACAAGAGAGGGGAAAACATACTGATTAACTAGGTGCTGACATCATGGAGCTTGCAGCCTTTCCACCTCCCTCCCCTGTTTTAACTGTTTTAATATGACTAAAACAATTAAATGTAGTACTTCCAGATGGTTTTAAGTAATACTAAAGATACCAGAAAGGCTGCATGAATCTGTGTTTATGATGAACAAATTAAGTTTTAAGGTAAGAAGCAGTGTCCATGCCCTGGTTGTTTGTTCATTTCATTTGAGTTAAAAGAACAGAAAAATATTTATATTCTGAATTTATGATCTGGGTGGATAAATATTATGCTAAAGAAATACAAAAAGTTGTTAAGAAACTGGAGACCACCAAGATTTGGGGTTGTTCAAAAATTTATTTTTGAATAGGGTTGGTTCAAGTAAGTAAATTCAATTGGAAAGCTGTTTGGATTGTTTTCAATAAAAATATTTCTTATCTACCTCAAGACTTTCCACATACAAACAAGACAAAATACTTGAAACAAACAAATGAGAATGAAAAACTCAGAGACCACTTTGTTCCCCAGCAGTGTCCTGAAGTAAGTCGGAAATTGGCCATTGTATTTTATTTCCTGGCTTTCAAAAAACCAAAGGACTGTCTTCAAAGTGAAACTGTAGGGAGCCATATGGGTGTTTTTGGAAAAGTCACGTATTGTTAAACACTGAGTGGGACTATCTTGTATTGATCCCTTGTCAACAATGTGGGCTAAGAGATCAGCCAAATGAGAATGTGTTTACTGCTTCCCCCTATTGATGCTCTGCAGCCATTTCAGCATAAAGCTTGACTCAAATTTTCCATGTTACTGATGCATTATCTTCTAATGATTCCAAGTAGGTTATCTCTTTCCAATTACATTTTTCCCTCTCTTTTTGATGAAATGCACATCCAAAGAAAGGCAGTGAAATTGATGCAGAGTCTGGAGCATAAGCCCATGAGGAGCAGCCGAGGGAGCTGGGGGGACATTATCACTCCCCCAGCTCCCTGAAGGGAGGCTGGAGCCAGGCGGGGTCGGCCTCTTCTCCCGGGTAACAAGTGACAGGATGAGAGGAAATGGCCTCAAGTTGTGCCAGGGGATGGTGATGGTTTAGACTGGTATTAGGAACCGCTCAGGGAACTGGTGGAATCACCATTCCTGGCAGTGTTCTAAAGGCGTGTGGCCCTTGGGGACAAGGTGAACATGGTGCTGCTGGGTTAATGGCTGGTCTCTGTTATAAGGCCTTTTCCAGCCTTAATGATACTGTGATTCTAAACTGTATTTCCATAGTTGCACTCCAGTCCTGAGTATCTCTTCTTAAAAATTACACCGATTAGGTTTTTCTCTTTTTTGAAACTGAATTAACATTTGCCCTCTTTCCTTAGTAAGTAGCTACTCACTTTCCAAAGAGCTTTCATACATTTGCTGCGCCGTTACGATCGGCTCTTTGGCACTCCGATTTTTATATATTTTTTTAGTGCACCCCTTTCTAGATCCGCTCCTTTCCCCTGAGTGGCGCAGCCCGCAGCACCCCCTCAGCTCTGTGCGGATGCCGCAGCGCCAACCCCCGGGGGCGGGCCGGCCGCGCAGCCATGGCGGGCGCGGCAGCCTCAGCCCCGCGGCCGGAGCCACGCATGCGCCCCCGGGGCGTTGCCATGGCTGCGGGCGGACGCGCGGGGCCGGGCGGCGGTGGCGGCGATGGCGCTGAGGCGGCTCCTGCTGCGCTACTTCCCGCCGGGTGCGGAGCGGGGCGCCCGGGGCGCTCCGGGTGCTGCCGGCGGCTGTGCCGGGGCTGGGGCCGCGCGCGGGGGGCCTGGGGGTGTGGGGCGTGCGGTGGGGCCGTGCGGGGTGTGCGGGCCGCCCGTCACGGCGGGTCCCCTCAGCCCCGCAGGGACTGGGCACGGCCCGGTCCATGGCGCACCTGCAGCCAGCTGGAAACGGCTCATCGCCCGTCGCGGCTGTAATTAGTGACTTACGGCAAAGTCAAGGCAGTCTTACTCGCATCACAGTAAGGAGTTTAGAAAGTCAGCAGTGACTAGCTGACACCAAAAAAAAAAAAAAAAGTTTTTAAATGGCTGTTTAGCAAAAAAGGTTGCCACTCTCTGCCGCTACTTGAAAGGAGGTTGGAGACAGGTGAAGGTCGGTCTCTTCTGCCAGGCAGCCAGCGAGGAGAGGACATGGTCTTTAGCTGTGCCAGGGGACGTTTCGATTGGATATTAAGAATAAATTCTTCACAGAAACAGCGATCAGACGTTGGAAAGGGCTGCCCCGTGGAGTCCCCATCACTGACACGTTTAAGGACTGGCACTCAGTGCCAGGCTTTGGTTGACAAGGCGGTGTTGGCCTTAATGATCTCAGAGGCCTTTTCCAACCTAGCTGATACTTATTTTTTGTCCTTGATTTATGAGTTTTCTTAGTGGAGCCATGCTTTGAAAAGCAATGCTGCCAGACTGTCGTGGTGTATACTGTCCTCAGTTGACTCAATGAAATTTCAGAGGTGAAACAAGCTGGAGATGGCTAGCTCTGGTAGTGTATTGGAAAATAATATCTTCCTTTCAAATTAAATACTTTTCCTATGAACTTCATAAATGCAGAATGACACAAAAGTTTGTCAAAATTATCCTTTCCTACAGAAAATCAAGGAGCAGCTGAGCCCTTTATCAACTGTTTCAAAACAGGAAGCCGTGTGATTAAACATTTTAATACTCCAGTGCAGTGAAAGCTGCAGAGATGCCAGAGCACACCTGGAAATGTAAAGCGTGTTAAGATTTTTGATACATTACTGCACTCAAGCCTTTGTGAGCACTAGAATAAATAAATGGCTTTTGTAAAACATATTTTCCAGGCTTCTTGGAAGACCAAACTGCAGCATCTTCAGGACAATTTCTTTGAAATTAATGCTGATGAAATGATGCAAAAAGCTGTTGGAAAAAAGAGCTTCTTCATTTCCAGAATAGAAAAAACTCAGAAATAATATTGTTTAATATATTTTTTTTATATAAGCATATCAGACTTGCTAATGACAATGGTTAATCTCAGTGAGAACAGCTAACCTCCTTCCAGTTCCAAGAACTGGAATTGGGTCTCCTGAAGTCAGTGGAGCTATAAAAGTGGAAGTGTTGCTGTCTACAGCACATGTTATAAAACTCCAGAAGTCTAATTATGACCTGTTTATCACTTGTTTTTAAAGGAATTTTTTTTGAATATGTGGAAGGTGGTGAGTCAAAGACCAGATCAATAGATCTTCTTGATCTTAGACCTGAGTAAGTATGATATTACTTCAGATAACAGCACTCTCTACCTTTTTTATAGCATGTTCATGTACAACTCTATTTAACTGTATTAGACATAATTGAGACCAGCTATTTTGTAGAGCCTATGTGCTCTACTCAGCCAGCTCTGGTAGGAAGGGCTTCAGAAAAATAACAATATGCCACCATTAAATAAAGTTGCCCAAATCCATGGAGTTTATTAAGCAGAAAGACATGAAGTAATATGATTGTCTTAATACCAGCATTGATATGGAAGAGGCCTTGCATGTAAGCCCAAGTCAGTAGACAGTGTAAGCTGGATATGCAGAATGAAAATTCAAATTTAAAAATTATTAGGTTTTGTCTACCTATGACTGTCCAGTACAGTGCTGTGGGTAAAACCTGTCAAGTCTCTTTGTGAAAGAAGTAAGTTGTCTGGTGTTACTGAATATGAGTATAAACACTGACAGGATACTTACAGGATGTAGTGGTGCCCTTTTAGAAGACTGATGTAGAAAATCCCCTTTAGACTTGAATAATTCCCATACTAACAGAAATGCTTGGCTTTCTTGCTAAACTGATTTTAAGAGTGTATTGTGATTTGACTGCTGGGTATTGTCAACTCTTAGTGTCTCACAGAAAGCCAGAAATCAGTAGTTACCTGTTGATGTGGAAAAATGATCCAGTTGCCCAGACCATCTGTGGCCCCCTCACTGCGGGCTCCAGAGACATCAGTACACTGGACCCATAGTAGTTACTGTCACAACTAAGAGCTGTGGAAACAGACATAGATTTCTGAAGCCACAGACCAAGATAAATTTAAGATTTATTTAAGATTTAATTTATCTTATTACTGCTTCATTGGCAATTTGTTTGGAATTTATGAAATTCCAGTTTAATTCAGATATTTAAACTGACAGTTTGGGACACATGTCTGCCATGCCTGATCCTCCATGGAAGTAATTTGAAAAGATAAATTTCTTGCCAAGCTACAGTTTTAAAAAGTTTTTGCTGTACAACTTCAGTAAGAGAGGAAAGGAGGTATAAAAACCAAGAAAGATTTATCCTTATTTCTGTAGGCCTTTATTGAATGAGATAAATGGATAACACTAAATTGCTTACCTCAGTTTCTCTGCAAGTAAATAGTATTCTTGGGTTTAAATTCATAATTGGGGCCAGAGAATAGAATGTGGTGGGTTTGTGTTTGGGGTATTTCTTGAGTTTGTTTTCATTCTTTTCTCATAATTAGCACAGATGTTACAGCCTTAGTAGAAGAAATCCAAAAAAGAGAACCTCTCATCACAGATTCCTGTTTGGAACATGTCATACATCTAGTACAAAGATTGCAGGAGAAGCTAGGGGAAGAACAGAATCACAAATTCTCCCTTTTTAAGGTCAGAGGCATCTTTAAAATAATTTGGGGCATTTGTTGGGGTTTAAGTTGTGATACTCTGAGTATGTTTATACTGCTGTATATTGTGTTCTATGACTGATTTCTTGGCACTTTTCAGTCCTCTCTGCACTTTTAGAGCAACTGAGTCTGGCCTGGTTTTTCTATCAGGAATTTCCCCAAAAAGGCTAAGAGGTATAACTGTTCCCAGACATTGTTTAAACAGGCTTATGCACTAGGGTGTGTTTTGGATGGAGAGAAATCAATCTTTTATTTGTTGAATAAGAGTTTGTGCAACACCCATAGTTACATTTAAACAAAACCTGTAAATAGACCTGAAGTAAATTAGCTATTGGGAAAGGACCAAACTATTTTCATACATGTGTCTGCTTGTTCTTCGTTTTGTGAAATTTGTGGGATTTATGCTATTATTTTATGGGGTTTTACGCTACATGCAGTTGTCATTACAAATCCAGGTTTTCATTACTTTCTGTCATAACTATTATCTTTGAATATTGATAAATTGAGCTTCGGCTTACAGACAGTACTTGAAATATTATTTCAAACAAGTAGGATTTTTAAGATCAATGATTACAGAGACCTTTCAGAGCTCCATTCCAGGACTGAGTCTGACAAGAATAGTTTTAATTGTTTTTAATTGTGGAAATGAAACTTTCTTCCAGATATGGCATGCTACAATCTGACATCGTTAAACGTTGTATCTTTATTGTGTCAGCAGATGGCAATGTGTAGCTGTTAAGCAATGTTGGTCAGTGCTATGGTGCTTATTGTTACCTTAAATGAAAAGAGAAAAAGTTTTGTGTTGGTTTGTTCAGCTAAAAAACCAATTACATATTTCTAGTATCACTTTGGCTCTTTTGAACAACAATATTCATCTAGGTGAATTCTGTAAAGAAAGATTTATTTAACCTTGAAAACAGAGCTATCTAGCAAGACATCTTAAATTTAAAAAGTTTCTCTTCTAAGTTATGCTCTCAACTGAGATAATGCTGTGTTTTTTAAAAGATTTAAAAATTGTTTGCTCATCACAGAGACTGACAAATCTTCAAATACTTGTTCAAACTTGAGTGTAAATAATGTATTTGTTCATTGTTGGGTGTAGTGCTGTGTCTGAGCTTCTATATTTAGAAATAATAGAAGCAGTCAAATCCAATCAGTGGTGGTTTATTTCCTTCACTCAAGAGTGGTTAGAAGTGTGTGAAAAGAACTTTTTTGATGTTTCAGTTTCATTTAAGGCTTCTAAATGAAACACGAGTGCCAGGTCCTTCTGAGGTATTAATAAAATATAAGAGATGGGTGGGAGTGAGATTTTTTTTTTTCTTTTCCCTCAAAAAAACGATCAGTGTGTGCATTGTTTGGAAATGAACAGTTTTTATTCCTGTTGCACTGGGGTATAATCTGAAGTGTATAAACTCATATTTTTGTTATTTCCAGTAATTGTGGTGATGGTGGTATGTTAGGCACCCTGAAGAGAAATGAGCTTTTATAGCAATTTCTCAGGTTCTAAACTATTCCATGGTAGTGGTGATTTGCAGATTTTTGTCTTAGGTACAGCTGTAGCAGATTTCACAGAAGAGAGGTATATTTTTTCTAATATTGCCTTAGGGTTTGGTTATTGTATCATTTGCACAGGCAATTCTTGCTGGCTCAGGGTTCTGTGGATGAAGCAACTGCAGCACGAGGCATTGGAGGAACAGAATTAGTCTCATAATCTGAAATTACATAAAAACCCATCTCAATTTCCTCCCTTTTTTCATAATTTCAAAATACCTTTGTTGTTCAGAGCTGCCTGCATGTAGTACTAAAAATGTTATGGGTGAGATTTCCATAAATTTCCATAATTATTGATTCTCATATGCAGATGGATATTGTGGCTCTTTTTAAAAAACACAATATTTTTGTCATTTCCACATCTTCGTTGCTCATTCCCACTCCTGTAGCCAAAAGTACAACTCGTGTGCTTTCTCTAGAGAGCAGAAATAGCTGTTTCTGTAGCATAAAATACATTTTCTGTTTCTCTCTCCCTCTCAGTCCTTCACTTAACAATTGTTATTTCCATTTTGATGAGTCCCTACTCTTCTGAGTAGATCAGTGAGCCTTCCTCATTTCTCTTTTGGAGACAGGCAGCTTGGAAAACTTGAGATAAGAAAAAGAAGTTGAAGCTCTGGTAATATGTTAGTAATTAAATCTCACAGTTCATAAACAGTTTCTTCTTCATTCTTACACTACAAAAAAGACCGAGTGAACCACTGGGGCATTTTTAACATCCCTTTACTGACTGTCAGCAATTGCTGTGATTTCCCAGTTTATGATTTTATTATGCTTGAGGGGAGGGCAGCTTGTAATAGGTGAAAATTGAGTGCAAACCATGTTTTACAGCAGCCAGTTTATTCAATCACCAACTAGATCATATTTTTTTGGTTCTTTTTAAAGTATCATGGCATGGTGACTTCCATTGCAGAATGTGAAACTATTTTCACCTCTGTTTAGTAGACCTTAGTATGTGTTATTATGGCTATGGGCTCATTCACATGAATGATCCTATACTGTCTGATTAAAGCAGTATTAGAAAGCAGTGACCTCCACAACCTACACAGTACATGCAGACTTTAAAGTTGAAATTCTGTCTTGGAATTTTGTCTTGTTGAATATCTTTGTTGTGGTTCATACCTTGTCATGATCTCATAGGACAGAGCTGTAGCTTATATATCTTTTTCCTGTTTTGTATAACAAAGTCACATACCAACTGGAAGCATCCCATACCCTAAAAATCTCAAATTTAACAGGATTTCTTGATTCACTGGCTAAGGCTTAATATTAGTTGGGATTTCTTTCATCAGTGATCTTACAGTCATGGTCTCCTCTTTTGTTTTTCCCATTCAGCTCTGGTCTAGGGTTGCTTTGCTGGTCTTGGAGAGGGTGAAGAAAATGCAAACATGGGAAAAAAAACCAGTTCACTGAAATAAAGTATAAAATTGAAATCAATAATATATAACATCTTCAGTCATCTTCAGTGATAGGATTAATGAGGGATTTCTCCTCCTCCAACAGGAGGAGGAGAAAAAAATTAATCTGTTGAATATTTTGAGCAATTTTGTTTATTTTGTTCACATCAAATGTTTTTCCTCTCACTGCCCCGCTTCTGTTTCAGGTGCTTAGAACACACATATTGCCTCTGACTAATGTTGCATTTAACAAATCTGGTTCCCGGTAAGTTGCTTTCAAATTCAGAGTACATAATCATTAATTGAAGTTTTGTACTCGTAAATTAAATGGTAACAAAACTTCAGTACTCTTGCTGCAAAAAGAATTCAGCTCTGCTGCTTATAAGCAGCTTCAGGCATAGCTGGGGATTATATTTCAGGCCTCTGGGAAAACCAATAGGAGATATAAAAAAGTAGCAGGTGAGATTCAATTTTTGTAATTTTTTTCTTCCACAGCCATAGTCTGTTGACAATTATCATATTACAGAAAGTACCACCTTTATGGCAATAAACTAAATATTGCTAAAAACTAAATGAGTCTGACATAAACTCATTTGGGAGTTTCACCGTTGTGAAAGTGTAGCTTTCATGTTAATTGATTTCATTGTGAATGCATCTCTTATCATTTTTTCCTTTGTATCTTGAAAGCAGCAGCATGCTTTCTAGTTGAAATACATTAAAGATTAGAAAAAAGGTGTTTTTGTGAATAAGATGTTAAAAAGAAAGAAGAAAATGAACCTTTATGGTAATAAATCTGTATTTTTGAAAGAGAGGAGATTTAGGGTCTGAGACAGTGCTAACCAAAATCTGTGGAAATAAATAATTTGGCTGTGCATTGGGACCACTAAGATCTTTGCTGTATTAAGAAATTAATTTCTCTTTGCTTTAGCTTTATCACTGGAAGCTATGATAGAACCTGCAAACTGTGGGATACAGCATCGGGAGAAGAATTGCATTCGCTGGAGGGACACAGAAACGTTGTCTATGCAATAGCTTTCAATAATCCCTACGGGTAAATAAATTTGTTCTGAGATTCTTCACAATTGCTAGCACTGTTATCTTGCAAATACTATAACAAAGAACAGACTATTTCAAATTGAAAGACTTCAGCTTCTGATTTTGTAGAGTTCAGCTATAGCTAATCACTGTAGGATAACACTGTCATTATTTGTACAAGAGATCTATTCAAACATGTTTTCTGTTATCATTTTTAAAAATGAAATATAGAAATTATAACCAAAAATTTAATTAGGTATTCAGTCTTGGAAAAAATATGAGTCAGTTGAACATATTGAAACACAGTTTATTTCAGTAATATCTACATGACCAGACTGTGTTCTGAATGTTAACTCTTCTGCCTCCATGTAGTTGTATGTGATGTGAGATATAAGTACTTTAAACAATCTGTGTTGATCCAGTTAAGGAGAAAGAAGTCAGTTTCTCCATTTGCCATTACAAATTCAATATTATTTAGGACATGATTTAGAAGTGTCACAGCTTTTGAGTAGTTTTTGTAAAATCCACAAGGTGCTGCTGTGTGAACATCAGATATTAATTTTTCCACCTTTTGTTTTCTCCAGTAATTGTTTGCCCTAGGTTGGCATTGCCACCTGTTAGGTGAAGGGAATTCACCTAATATCAGGAAATAAATGCTAAAAGATTTGTTCTTACACTATTTGAAACTTCATTTCTTTCTTCTATATGAAAAGGACCCTGCTGTGTCAATGTCTTATATTCTGATATTATTCTTTACTTTAGAAATGAATGAAGTTCATTTATATAACTTGGTGAAACTAACAACAAAAATCTGTGCAAAGATCAATAACTAGACTGTAACATAAAAGTGGAGAAGCAACATACAGCAAGACAAAACCTGATGAGATGTTTGAACTATTTTTGTATTAAAAATTGATAAAAAACCCCTTTTTTTCTGCCAATCTTTAGGTTGTGCCCCTTGGTGCATTTTCTGGAGACTTCACTTTAATCTTGCTCTAACTGCAGATGGTCACAACACTTTAACTGGCTTCAGTGGGAATAGAGTTCAACTTATGAAATTTGGGTGAACTGCATTTCTAATTGTTGATAAACATGTTATTTGATGAAATTATATAACTTCTTAATAAATCTGTAAGTGCAGCGCAACATCATCCCTAAAGTAGGTCAATCGTCAGTCATGAACACTCCTCTGCTAATAGGTAGGCACAGCAGCTCTCCTAGAAACTCACTGTGTCTGCTAGTTTTTTGCCTTGCTGTAACTTGTGTATGTGAAATCCTGCTGCAGGATCTTGTAGTGTGGCAGCAGCTACCAAAGTGCATGGGAGCTTCCAAGGCTGAATTTCTGGATTCTGCTGTATCTGGAGTCAGAGGAATTTTCTACATAAAAATTATAGGATTTTTTTTTTCCCATTTAGTGACAAGATTGCCACTGGATCTTTTGATAAAACCTGCAAACTGTGGAGTACAGAAACAGGAAAATGTTATCATACCTTCAGAGGACATAGTGCAGAAATAGTGAGTAGTGATGGATGTTTCTTATTCCCTTGTTTCCTCACACCATCGTTGATGAGTGTGAGTTCCAGCTCTCTGTGAGCTCCCACTGGAAGGCACAGTTATTGTGGCACATCTATTCATACATTCTGGTCTTGTTAACATTTCTGCACTGCAGGGGAAGATATCTGTTCTTGAGATAGAATAAATCCTCATTCACAGTTTGAAATTATATTTTTATTTTTACTTTGTTCCAATTTCCCATGTTTGCTTAACATTAAAACATTGAAAAATACCATAGCAACTGGAATTTTCAGTTTATTGTACATATTTTTTGTTTGATTACATATCACATGTTTTTCTAGCTATCTGGCATTGCCTCTCATATTTGCAGAACTAAATACACAAGAACATCATTGCTTGTGTTGTTGTCTTTCACACAGAGATCTGTACTTCGTGTACAGAACTGTAGAGGAATGAATTTCTGAGATATAAAGTGTGTTAACTGGGAATATGTGGGATACTGAAATGTCAAAGATCTATGAAATTAAAACAGTTTAAGCTTAAAAATGCTTGATTTTCTCTCCCATGCACTAGGACCCCTACCAGCAACAGCAAGGACCTCAATGCACAAATTTCAGTTTAAAAGATATGGGCAAAGACACTAAAACTCTGAATTTCAATGATGAATGAGGTTTTTTGGTGATTTTTAAAAATAGCTATACAATCACTGTTCAATGAAATATTGATGAAAATTGTTTCTGAAAAAAAATAATTTGAATTTAATTGTAGATTGAGGGCCTTAATTAGAGCAAGAAAATGGTGGTTTCCCATACTGGAATTTGGGTTTTGTTTTGGTGTGTTTTTGATTCTCTGGATACTCTGAGTTACCCCTTAAAATGGAGAATGTTTGCTTTTTGAGAAAGGCTGCAGTGATTTTGCTTCCACAAATCAATCAGGTAAATGTTTAAAGGCCTCTCCATTTTTTCTGACTTCTTAGGGGTTAGATTAGACCCAGAGTGTTATGAGTTGTGCTGACAAGTAATTAGAAGAAGATAATTGCCAGCAGGAAATGTGTTTCTCTGAATCAGACCTGTTTCTGAAAGCCCATGATTGCGTCTGATACATTGCTGGCAAGGGCATGCCCATGGTTACTCAGGATGAAAAAACTGAGCTACTGTTTTCCTTTTTTCATGGCACCTGCTATTCTTTATTTGCAGAGCAATGACAATGAATAATTACAGAGAATGGGAGGATGACTACATGATTTTTTAATGTGAAAAATGAATTGAAGTAGTTGAGCTTTTGTTCTTGTTTTTCTTAAATATGATGTTGTGGTGATGCCCTTGGCAAATGCCATTGATAATGACACCTGATAGGGTAAGAGTGCACAGAGTGTGTTTGTAGGTACACAGAACTGTTAGGGTGATCTTTGCCCCAATCTCATCAAGTAACAGAGAACACCTACCAGATGATAGTGCTAGGGAGCAGAGTCAAACTAGACAGTAATTGGAGGATTTCAAAGAGAATTTTGAAATAAAGGAAAAACAAAGCATGTGCTTGCAAGGAGTCCACTTGGTTTGAGTACTTATCCAGAGTTACGTGGTAAGGATATGTTGCTGTTCTAGTGAGCTGTTGGAAGAATTCTGCAAGTTTTCTGTATGCCGTACAATATTATCAGACTTTTATCTTATTTAAAAATATTAATCCTGACCCTTGTTTTATTTTTTTTAGAAAATATATATAGATGGACTTCTTCAAACTTTTTCTATCTAATGTTTCTCGCTACAGGTATGTTTATCATTTAATCCTCAGAGCACACTGCTGGCAACTGGAAGCATGGATACCACTGCCAAATTATGGGATCTAGAGAAAGGAGAAGAAGTAGCCACTTTAAATGTATGTTTGCATTCCTTATGTTTTTAGAGGTGTTCCTTGCTGTCTTAGTTTTCCAGCTGAGATAAATAACAGTGTAACCATTACAACTGTTTTAAACCTTGCAGTTTCAAACTGCAGTTACAAAACAGAATAAGAAAACTTGAAGGGAACAAGAAAGCTGTGGTATTTTATGAGTCCTATTCATCAAAAGACAGATTTTCTCATTGCAGTGACATTACTGCTATAGATTAGAATCCCTTCCATCACTTGTTAAAACCTACTGTTCTGCTGTCAGTTGTGACCTCCTCTGTAAGGAGGAGGTAAACATGAGCAGAGGACAGCCATCCAGTTACCTCTAGATTGTCATCTCTCTTTGCTCTGCGTGGCTTGCTGGCATTCTTCAGGGTCAGATTGGCCTCTGCTGCTTCAATGCATTTCTCACCCATAAATCCTAAGTCATGTGTAGTGAATAAGCTTCCTGCTTAAGTGGTGTGCCTGAGTTTCTGCAGTTGTTGGGATATCGACTATTCCACAGTCGGGTAGATCTTTCTGTCAAAATTGTGATATACTGGACAAGACAGTAAATAAAATAGTGATGAGTTATGGAAGGATTATGCTACTGAAAAAAGACTACATATTAAACTATATTAATGGAAAAGTAACAATTTGTATTCTCATACTCCTTTTTAAAAATTCTCTCAGGGGCACTCAGCAGAAATTATTGCTCTGTCTTTCAATACCACTGGAGACAGGATCATCACTGGCTCCTTTGACCATACAGTAGCAGTATGGGATGTTGGCACTGGCAGGTACTAAAGCACTAATAAATATAACTTTACTTTGCATGATTTCAGAACAAATTCAATTAATGGAATTTCTTTTATGGCACTTCATAAGCCTTTCTTCTGTGTTATTTCTGTGTATCTGATAATGGTTTCTGTGAGATGTTCTCTACATTGTTATTTATTCTGTTTATTGATCAGATTTTTATGTCAAAGCTTGAAGCTCACACTGCCTTTTTGAGAATTGGAAGTTTAAGCTTTCAGCTTTTAAATTAAAACTTGTTTCTAGGTATTACTAGGTATTTTGGGCATTAGGTATTACAGTAACAGCAGTCTTGATAGCCAAATAATATGTTCATAAAATTAAGCTTTCGTCTGTTATCTGCTTGTTGATTTTTGGTTTTACTGTAAAAGGATCTACACGATTGAAACAGTGTAGACCTCACAGTGTTAGGAAGTAAAAGGAGCAATTCTGTAAAATGCTAAGAATGTAATCAAGTTTCTGTTATTATAAACAAATAGCAAATTCAAATGCTCAGGAAATTTTCTTTGCTGTTCATTTAGCACATATAAACATTTATTTACCTGTATATATATCTTGTGCAATGAATAAAAACATTTCAGTCACTTAAACTCATTTTGTCGTTTTTCTAGTTATTAGTTTATGTTATTTACAGTCTGCTTCTATTAATGATGCAGTGATATTAGCACTGTGATAATAACTCAATTTGCTAATCCTTTAATACACGTATATCTCAATTAATCTTTTTTAAGCTTTGTTGCCTTATAGGCCATCAATTAATAGGAAGCAGTATTGGCTAATTGTAACCTCTCTACTCAGATAAAGCTGAAGAATTTAATGGGACTTGTATTGCCAGTCTTGTGCAGCAAGAAACTGAGGATTAATGAGGATTAGAAATCATATTTCAGTTGGGCTGTCATTTGCCTGTTATTTGGGAACATGCTTGCATTAAGTACCTGATTAACTTCCATTTGATCTTCAGTGGATTTTATAAAAGGTTTAGATTATATGGAGTTTTAAAGATGTACTGTTTACAGTTCATTGAAGTAGGATAATGGGAGAGTAATGTGGAAAATCTTGCTGTATATGCTTAGCATGTAGATGAATTAAAGAAATCTCTCACTGGTACTAAAAATCATCATGTTTTCACTGGAAATACATTCACTAAAATATGTTTGAAAGAGAAGGTGGAATGACTGATTTTATTCCTTACTGCCTCTTTTTGCCAAAGATAGAAAATGGAATTGATGTAGTACTAGAATCCTAAATGAGCTGCACCACTCCATTTAATTGCTTTAATGGTAAAGATTTGACACCTTAACTATATACCATTTTCTAAACTTACAATTTATATGTGTATTTAAAAATACACACTATAAATGTAAATGACTGTTTTTAATTTTTTTTGTAGGTTGTTACATTCTTTAATAGGCCACCGAGGAGAGATTAGCAGTGCCCAGTTCAACTGGGACTGTTCTCTCATTGTCACTGGATCAATGGACAAAACATGCATGGTAAGCTGCTTGAGTAGGTAGTGAATACAGCTACTTGACATATAAAAAGTATATTTTTTAAAATTGAGGAGCATTATTTTAAAGTAGTACATACAATGAATTAGAGAGTTTACAACTAAATATAAAACCTATAATCTTACTCCTTTCAGCAAAGTCTAGTTAAGTCTTGTTTAATCAATACATTGAACTAAAAAAACGTATAGGACTTCATTAAACTAGCTAAAGAGTGACTCATTATTGATTTGTATTCAGCTTTCATGTTATTACATGTCAAACATCAGAAAGGGCCTCTACAAGTTGCTTTATCAATCAACTACATATCTATAAAGTAAATGAGTCCAAAGAAGCAATCCAATGCCCCTGTTTGTGTGTGCAGCTGTGGAATGCTGAGACAGGGACTCACATAGCAACGCTAGCGGGGCACAGCAGGGAGGTGCTGGATGTGTGCTTTGACTACGCCGGGCAGCGCATTGCAACCGCCTCTGCTGATGGTGAGTGAGGGGCCTGCCACTGCTGGGGGAGCTGCAGCTGCAGCATCAAACACCATTGTCCTTTACCTTTGGCTCTGCTTTGAATGTAACTTGGTGAAGAGGAGGACTTGATTCAAAACTATAGATCAAGCAGTGTTTGTTGCATTACAGAAATAGGGCATTAAACTAAAAGTTTTCTCCAGTGACAGAGTTCTTATTTTCATACTTCAATCAACTCAATGTGTCTTTCCCCTTTAACTTCAAACTTGGAAGGAAATATTTCACTTGTGGCTGGACATACATTTTAAATGTGTGTGTAAATAGCTTTTGAGGGGATTGATTTAGTGGCTCAGATTTAGGCTTAAATGAAAAGTGTGGTTTGAATTTTACTGGTGGATTTGCTAGCAGACTTTTCTAATGCACAGCAAGAGAATACACAATAAAGAGGTAGTGAAAGAATCAATTTTGTTTTCTTATTGGTATGCAGAAGTTTTGCATGTTTATTATTTGTCTAGGAATCACAATAAATACTTTTCTGTATTCACCTGCTCAGTCATTTATATTATACTGCATAATGACAATACTGTATTAGTTTTAGATATACAGTTCCAGAAACAGGATACCAGACTGGATGGGGAGGACTAATTGGATCTGTTCTCCTGTACTTGCTACATTAAGACAAAAGACAGTGTAAAAAGCTTCCTGATATTTAATCAATATCTTATTAAATATAATGAATAGATTATTAAATAAAATGAATATCTGAAATATAATGAAAGCTTTCTAAATATATTGTACATGCATTCTGAAATAACAGGCTTCAGTAAGCTGTATTCTTTGTGGACCTTTGTATTCATATTTTAGGATTTTTCCAGGAGAATTCATTTCTGGTCAGGAAAGGAAGTCAATCTTTTCCAACCAGATTACAGATTCTTTTTAACAAACTTTACCCTTGGAGGAAACTCTGTGAAGTTTGCCTTCTATTCCTTCCAACATTAAACCTGAGGATGAGTTCCTTCTGACCTTATTGAGATGTTCTTGCTGAAATGGGTGTTTAAGCATAACAATCACATATGGATCCCACTGCAACAGGGTCAGCAAGAGTCTACAGTGCAGGAACTAAACAGTGCATTGCAAAGCTCGAAGGGCATGAAGATGAAATTTCGAAGGTAAGTTGTGTGTGGTTTGCACCTTTTGTAATTTGACTATGTGTGACATCCAATCCACCAGTTATTCCATGATGCAGGAATACTGTTAATCATTATACCACCACATTCTTTAATATTTAAGATTGACAGGTCTGGCTAAGAAGTTGTCTGTACTAAAAGAATATTCCTTTTGGCTAAAAGCTATCAGACAATGATTGTTTACCAGTTCCCCACTTCTGAGGTAAGACAATACTGGGAGTACTGAGCTGCCTTCCTGTGCTGTCATGTGATTACCATTTGATCCTTTAGAATGGTGCCAGCTACTTAAGTCCATCCCTCCAATGGGTGGACACCTGCCTTTGTTGCCATTGGAATGACTGGATTTCCTTAGCTCTTTCCTTTTCCTGAAGCAGTTTATCAGTTGGGTCTGCACACCCACTTGGTAAAGAATAGGGGAGCAGAGAGGGAGATGCTCTCTGAGTGTTAACAGAGCTCCTGTCTGACCTGTCCTAAACCATGCCTGTGTTATTCTGCCATTGGAGTCCCACAGTCTCTGACAGAATAAGCATCAAGTTTTTAATCTCTTGTTGACATCTTAAGGCTGTTGCCTCTAAGGCTTTTACCATCACCCCTATTCCTTGCTTCTACAAGGTGTGCTCCTCTTTACATTTTGTCATTTCTCTGCACACCTGAATTATGCAATGGAACAGAAAAAAAACATATTTCTGTGGAAAAATACATGGAGAATCTCATTTTCAAAAGTGCATAAAGGATTTGGAAATACAAAGCCTGTTTCAAGAATCATTTGGTCATGAGGAGTGTGCTCACGTGCTTTGCTTGTCTGGCTCAATTTGAACACCAAGGTTCTGTTCCAAATACATGTAGTTGTTTCAACATTGTACATATTTTTCAAATTTTGTTATTTATTGCTTGCAGCTTTTCATTATTCGTTCAGATAGATAATCTCCCTTCTTCCAAGCTAGTGTGCTATGTTTGTGCTGCTTTCTTGGATGTATTTTGACATTGAAATATTAATATTTTGAATCTAGGATGGTTCTTAATGAAAAAAAACTTAAGTGCTTTCATTCTGTTGATGTCTGTATAATAATTTTGCTGAGAGAATAAGTTCAGAAGAATTGGTCTTTCCTCAGTTGCTAAAGTCACTGCAATATCTCACACTCAGTGTAGACCCACTGAGGACAGTCTGAACCCCTCTCCCAAGAGGGTGGGTTAGAGACAGCTTCCATCAGGACCTTAGTACTGGCATCATTTCAGTGCTGGTGGAGAGAATCTGCTCCTCTGGGAGCACATGGAAAAAAAACACTTTCTGCAGATATTCTATGAAGATGTGACCACTTAGGAATGTTATTACTTAGAAATTGGATTTCTGGGAAGGAGACACTTTGCCCTCAGTAATTAAGGAATTTTGAATTATACAATAAACTGATATTGTCCAGTTGGTGCTTGAAAAATGTAACTGATTATCTGTAAATCCATGCAGTTATGGCAGTGAATGTTTAACAAATATGAAGACTTATTATCAAATTAATTGTTTCCAGTGCAGATTCTGATACTACTGAGATGTTTGTTATTTAATGTGAGACTCTATAAAATATGTATAAATATTACATTGGAATAATGATAACATTTAAATAAAGCTGCTACATTTACTACTAATTCTGATTTTGGGGCTGATATTTGGAAGTTATGATCCTCTAGTAAGGTCATGGTATATAAGCCTTTGTAAATACACAAAGTTTTCAGCCACTGAAGTTTGCCAGCGTGACTCTAGTGGAATACTATCCTTGATTTTAGCTAAAAAACTGAATGCAAGAGTTGCTGCTTTCTATTTTCATTTTTCAGTCACTTTGATGTGCTGCTTTCTCTAGGCATACTGACTAGCTAAGTAACATAACTCATTTCTGTATTTTTTAAAGGTGTGTTTCAACCCTAAAGGCAATTGCATACTAACAGCCAGTTCTGATAAAACAGCTCGGCTCTGGGATGCTGCTACTGGACACTGCCTTCAGATATTAGAGGGTCATGCTGATGAGATCTTCTCCTGTGCTTTTAACTACAAAGGTGACACAATCATTACAGGTAGCTAATATCTAATATATTCTGCTTTTCTTTCCTTTTTTTATTTTTTTTTGAATCACATTTGAAATTTTGCCACAGCAAAGTCTGAAAACTTTCCTGGGGCCAAATGCAGGTACCAACAGTGACTTACAATATAGTCAAGAAAATCTAGAACTTCTCTTTAGAACTGAGAATTAAGGCACTATGACCACAAATAAATTTGTGCAAAGACATGGGCATGCCCTCCCACCTCTCCAGTGGGCACATACCAGCACCAAGCCATTTTCTCACAATGCATTGCTGTAAGGGAGGTGTGGATGAACAAGAGGCAAAGGTTTCTAAATGGGAGCACACCTTTTGTGTATTTGGTACTGAACTCTCATCAGGTTTCCTTCTTTTCAGTCAGATGCAGGATGATCTCAGCTAAAAATATTGCCCTAGATTTTGCTGCCTGTTAGTTGTGGAGAAAAAAATTGTTGCATTAATACCTACATTGTTGATGTAGGTATTAACAGAAATGTATAGACTGTGTGATACACCTAAGTGATTTCTTCACAATATGTGTTTATTACTAGGGAGCAAGGATAATTCCTGTAGAATCTGGCACTGACTGAAGAAAAGGAAGGATCCAGTTTGATGTATTCCTGCCTACTTTGTGAGTTTCAGACTCAATAAACTCAGCCTTTCAGGTCGGTTTCCTTTTACTCTCTTTGTTCACCTTCTGTTGAAGTAGAACAGTTACCTAGATTTGATAGGCTTGACTTAGATATGGCACCACAGAACTGCAGAAGCTGGAAGATCACTGGAGATCATCTAGTACAACAGCCTGCCCTGCTCAGAACCCTGTCAGTCAAGCAGGCTGCCCAGGACTGACATGGGTTTGAATATCTCCAAGGATGAAGACTCCACAGTTTCTCTACACAACCTGCTTAGTACTTGATCACTTGCATAGTAAAGAAGAAAAGAAGGGGTTTTCCCCTCTTACATTTAAATGGAATAGCTCCTTATATTTCAACTAGTGCATGTTGCTTCTTCATTGAGTAGCACTAGGAATCCGGTCTGTTATTTCAGTCACCAGAGAGAAATCATGATTAGTGAGAATAAATGCATAGGATAGCTCAATTTCTTTATGTGTAATTTTTAATTTGTAACCTTTAAAAAAAATAGAGCATTATAGTAATCTCTGTTGTGAAAGCAGTGTTGGTTTACACTTGCTTTGAAGACTTTTGTATTAATTTTTTGTGTGTGTGTGTCTGTGCAATAAAATATTGAATTAAAATGCTATTTTTTTATTTTTGTACTACAATGCCCCATTCATATTTCTGGACAAAACCAGCAGCCATTTTTGAGCTGCCTTGCTATTAACTGTTGAATGCATGCTGCAGTTAAACTTCCATCTCATACTTTCCCACATCTTTCCATTCAACCCATTTGTTTCTGCTCAGTCCTCATTCTCCTATTTTGAACTGAGGTAAAAAAAAATTACTAGCCGTGGTGACTCCAACTTGGAATCCTGGCCCAGTGATTAAGTCCAGCATGAAGAAACTCTGCTTAGCAAAGATTGGAAGCCAAGGATCCTGACATAAACTGAGAAGTAGATGAGAAACTCCTGCAAGTTATTTACCAGCATACAATGAGCTTTTAGCTCAAATTAGCATTAATTGCCTCTCCCAGAAATTGCCAAGAGGTTTCACCTGTGTAGTTTGCGCCATTTCCTGAGTGCAGCTGGAAGTGCAGTTGCTCTTTGCAGGCACAGTGAAGGAGCAGAACTGACTGGTCTTCTCCAGCAGACTTGAAAGAAAGTTGAAAAGGTAAAGAGGGAGAAAGAAAGTGTAGAGCAAAGAATGAACTTGGAGATATTTTGTTTATATTCTATATCTCTGGGTGATTGTGGACTTATAAATGTTGTTAAATTTAGTAGGAAGTTACTAAAGCTGGTGTGTTGTGACTACCTCAGAGTGCTTGCCAGCATCTTTGTGTGTAAATGAAGAAACAAAAGTGCCTGTCATCACTTGGCAGATTTCCTGGTTATTTCAAGTAGTGCTGTGCTGTAGAAGAAGTGAGTAGAAAGTTGCAGATAATTTAAAATGAAACTTTCACCAGTGGCAAAGTGGCTGATACAAATATCTCTGTAATGCCTATGGTGCTTCCTGGGTTTTTGTGCAAAACCTTTGCATGTCAAAATATATCTCAGTAAGTTGGAATTGAAAGGGTCAGGAAGGGCAGTGCTGTTCCATGTTGGTTTAGAATTGCTCAGTGTCCCTAGATTGATGGGCACCTGTGACCTGGGAGATTCCCAGCTGACAAAAATGGAGGAGAATTACTATAATGAGATATATACAATTACTGCTATGTAGTTAAAACCTGAAATTTGACTTTCTGTCACAAAGTAGAACTGTCTGTGACTGAACTGTCACAAAGTAGAAAATATTCTTTGCACTGTGATTAGGAACTAGATTCTCTCCCCACTCCCCTTAATCTTTTAGTCTGGTTTTCTTCCTCTTGCCTTTTCATTTATGATTTTTTTCTTCTACTACGCTAGTGAATCAGATGGCTGTAATAGCTTTTGGCTTCAAGCTCTTGTCCTATTTTTGCAAGAAATTGTGAATTGAGGTTTCATACAGTAAGCATTGGACTGGCAGGAAATCTGGGTTCTATTTCTGATTCTTCCTAGATTCTTGAGTGTATGGAGCTGCTTTTCAGGCTAAGTAATCTAAGTTTCTGGCTCATATGTGAAGTATTTTCACATCTGGTGTGATTTACTGCTGGAAAAGGTACTGGCTTGGCACCATGGAAGAGCTTCAGTAGTACTCTAGATACTCTCTGTGAATGCTTTGATGTTAGGTTCTCTGCACCTTAGTTTACCCATATATGGATTTAATAAATTATAGAGATATACATTAGGAATGTATCACATAAATGTATCTTCCTGGAACCATTCTTTGGGTCTGGTAGCAGCTTTATCTCTTTCTCTGATTCCACTTTAGTCCCTCAGCCAAAATGGTGAATGTGTATGTTCTAGCTCTATTGCCTGGCACTTTTTTAATCTGCATACTTTATATTATCCAAATGCTACTTTAATCACTGTGTGGTTGGAGTGAGATGTAGCTTTCAACATTACCCTGAAATGCTGACAAACTTGCCTCCCTGTGACCTTATTGAAAAGGATTACCTCAGGAGAGCCCTGAAGTGCTTTAGTAAGGCTTCTTACTGTAGAAATCATATTTGCTGTATTCTTTTCTGTCCTTTAGACTTTGAAATCCTTTCAGGATTAACCTCTGTGAATGTGCAATTCTGTTTTTCTGGGAAACAGTTTGTGTCGCATAACTGCTCTAGGACAGAACATACACTTCACAAGGATGGGGATTTCCATGTAAGCACATGATGTGTACTTGGACTTGTGATGCGTGAGATTCAAATGCTTTCTGAATAGGTGATGACAGTAATGCTCACACCCACTCATGTTTTAAAAGTGGCATTTTGTGTGAATTTCTTTTTTTGTCTCCTTCAGTGGGATCACTCACATTTCCTAGGTAGTTAGTGAAAGAATGTGGAAATATATCCTGCTTCTATTTTCCAGTTTGCTGCACTTTACTATCTAATTCTCAGCTGAAGCTGGGAGGAGAATGTAATACCCATCAGCCAGCCCAGTCTTCACTGCAAATTGTTTCAATTAGTTTGATAGTCCAGCTGTCTAATATAAGTGTCTGTCCTGCTAAATGCTGCACAGCTGCAAGATGCCTTCTGAGGTCCTGTTCTTTGTGGTGACTGGGTTCAGAGTGGGTTGGGAAAACTGAAATAGTGATGTTGTAAGTTTTGCTTGTATGTGGAGAAGGCTTAGGAATGTCTCTGGCTCAAATCCTTAAATTGGCTAGTATGGATGTGCTTCCCTTCTGAGCTGCAATTTGTTTTATTTAAGTTGGTCATGTGGGTTCTTTATTTCAATGGACTGGTGTGTTTTTTCTCTCTGTCATTTTGAAATGTGGAGTTCAGGATTCACAGTGGCATTCCTATGCTTGTCTGTCATGCAGCTCTGCATGAAACAGGCCAAGAGCAACTGTAAAACTGGCCTCTTCAGAAAAGTTATCTATGAATTTAACAGGTGACTATTTTTTCACAGACCATAAATGGTTATTTTGAGGACCATAAAAATCTTCAGTGGTATGAACAAAACTGAAGTATAGTTTTTCAGCTTCTAGTCACCTCACATTAAAAGAAACCTAAACACAACAACATTAAAAATGAATTTTTTAAATATCTAATTCAAATACAGAATTGCTTTTTGAAGAGTAGGAGAGCTAGTAGTAGCTCTTCATTATATGGTTGGTAGATTCAACCCTGGGTTGGCAATTCACCTTCCCCTGAAGCCACCTCCAGGAAGGGGAGCACTGCAGCTGTGGCTCCTGCTCTCGTGGGGCGCCTCTGATGGCCAGAGCATCCCCTGAGACATCTCCTGTAAGAACTTCTCCAGCTCCCACCTGAACCTGTGTACAAGTCTTGCATCCTCTCATTTGATAATTCCTCATCTCTTTTTGTTTGCTTTGAATTTGGCTCATCTGATTTTAATTTGTCATATCCTAGTTTTTATCAAGAGAGAAAGTGAGCAACCACCCCTGATGTTGCTAAAAACCTGCATCATGCTCATGTAGAGGGAGATTTTGCCTAAGGCTATATGTTCTTCTCATTTAGGAGTATTTAATACCCACTTCTAAAAAACGGAAAAAATGAAGAATGGATGAATGCTTTTCTGATTTAGTCAGTGAAGTGATGGTTTCCTTTTCTGTGTAGCAGTAGAAATACCTGTGGTATCTAGGCAATATTGCAGTAAGTGCCCCTGTGAACTTACACAAGGAGAAGAAACTCCTGAACTTCTGTCTCCCCACCCTCCTGCTCACTTTTGCAGGTACTGAAAGCAGCCAGAGTGAGCACTAATAGAGGTTTATACATAGGGAGTTATTCTGGGCAATCAGGATATAATTTCTCTTTATTTTATTGTGATACTAAGAATGTTACGTTTAGCCTTTTATCTCTTGAAGGAATTCTGGAACCTGAGTAGCTTTGGCACTGAGGTAAGACCTGGACATTTCCCTGGCTTGTTTTGGTTAAAGCCACGGATCAGATTCATCACTGAGAAGCAGAGTTTGAGAACCTCCAGGCATGGCAGGCAGATATTTATTATAGCAAAAAATCTATAGCTCATTTGTGAACTTTTTAGGAAGGCAAAGAGGACACACATTGTAACGTAAATTTATTTCTGAATAAACTGCAACATTAAGAACTACTGTACAGAGAAACTGCATCACACTGTTACAACTCTGTCATGATATTTGTGCTTTGTAAACATTTATTCTATCACAACAAAAAATTGTATACTGACAAGTAACTATTTGGTTTAAAAATAAATACACCTTCCCATTTATTCACTCAAACAAAGCACTTTAAGTCTATAATTCTCGGTGGTTTTCACTAGCTCTCAGCCTCAGAAATGCTGAGCATTCAGAGTTGCCACTCAGTGGGAGTTACAGACACTCAGCAGTTCTTAGGGGCTGGCCCAGTGACCCCAGCTATGTTCAGTGCTTGCAATAAATTGACCTTTATTTTGACTGTAAA